AAAAATTAATAGTGACCACCCATTTTCAATGAAATTTAGATTTTTTAACGTTCCGGGGAAAAAAGTATTAAAAAATTAAAAATTTCCATAACCTTATAAAATGGCTTAACATAAATGTGGTCACCCATTGTGAGGAAAATTTTTATTTTTTTTAGGTGAAAAAAAAATTAAAAAATATAAAATTTCAATACTGCACAGAATTGCCTAGAAAACATGTGGCCATCAACTTGCAGTGAAATGTAAATTTCTTTAGATGGCCAAAAAAAAATTAGAATTTAAAAATTTTCAAAATTTCACGGAATGACTTATAATACCTGTGGCCACCCACTTTTAGTTATATTTAATTTTTTTAACGTGCCTAAAAATTATTAAAATAAATAAAGACAAAATTTTGGAAACTTTACTTAATAGCTTAGACTACCTGTGGCCACCCAATTTTAGTATGGACAAATTTTTTTATTTCACGAAAAAAATTTATATTAAAAAATAATAATTTAAAAATGCTTAAAATTTTAAAATTTCAAAACTTTACAAAATGTCTTAGAATATCGGTGGCCACTAACTTTTAGTGAAATTTTTTTTAAGGGCCCAAAATTTTTTTTTGCAATAATAATAATTTTTTCTTACAAAACTGTACAGAATGACTTAGAATACCTGTGGCCACCCACTTTCAGTGAAATTTGTATTTTTGTACGTTGTCAAAAAAAATTTAATCAAAATAAATGCAATTCATATAGTGATGTTTAATACCTGTAGCCACCCAAATCGTGCTCATACATTGATGTTTCATATCAAAATGAATGGGATTCATAGTATATTTATTTGTAGGAAATTGCACGTCATAAACACTCGACATTGGCTCATTTCAAGGAAACATTTTCTCAGTCTTTCCATCAAAATGGTAAGCTTCGTCATGTACATCATTATGTGTTCGTAATACGTGTTAATAGTTCTTTACATATTCACATAACCTTCCTACTTGTCAGTCTAAACGTGGAGGTCACATGCCTAGAAGACAAGGCTCTTCCTCGTCCTCGTCCCCGTCCCTTTCCTCTTCCCCTGTCCCGGCATCTAACCCTCAACCACAGTATGGTCCGTCACAATATGGACACGTTAGCCCTTCCTCCAACACTCAACAACATGTTACGGGACTTGGCCACATGCGAACTGAACGTTCTCCAGTTCAATCTCCTTTAGCTCCCTCTCCTTCCGTTCCACCCCATTATTCGGCGGAACAATCGAATATTGACGGAAACAGAGGTCAAGAAGATAACCGATTCTTCATATGCCCATTTGGAGATTCGTAAGTACTTCATTTTTATTTTAGTATATGTAATATTTAGGGCTTTAGATATTGATGTCAATTGAATTGTCCATGTTGCACAATATTCATATGAATACAGATTCACGGATGCTCCGTCTGTTGTGAGGGAATTGAACAAAATAGTAAGAAACTTTTGGATGGGAGAGTATATTACTTACAGAAATGTTCTACAAGAAGTGAAAGAAATGTGGTGGAATGAGTTCAAGGTAAGTTTTACATATTTCATTTTCTCACCAATTAAGTGTGGTGTAGTATATTGATGGTCAAGAATGATGTAAAGGGACCAGAACAACTCCGTAGTTTTCGATACCTAAAGGACCAGATATTTTCCCCAACATGAACTTTACAAAATCTGTCTATATTTGTCTGGTGCATGGTTATGGATATGTAATCATCATAATAATTTTCAATTTGTGTTTTTATTCATTACAGCGGAAGTTCAAGTGGGAGGAAGCGGAAGACAATGAAGTGAGAAGAATTTTCGATAAGAAAATAAGTGATTTTATGCGAAATGTCATGAATAGAGCGAAAAGCAAGCAAGCGAAGCCGTCTTTCTTTACAGCTGACAATTGGGAGGCAATTAACACATTTTGGGCATCTGAACAGAGTCGGCAACTCTGTGAGCAGAATAAGAAGAATCGATCTTTTAGTTCTAGTGATGGGTTAGTCACATATGCTGGGGGCTCTATCAACATTGCGGAACATCGCAAACGACTGGTAAGTCTGTTAAATGAGTTATAAGTTAATTTAATTCAATTACTCATGTTTACATTTTGTAGGCATCCCAATTGGGGACGGAACCGACATTTGCAGCTACATTTGAACGCACATTTCAAAAGAAAGATAAGACATGGACTGGCGATCGAGCAAAAGCTGTTAAGGTATGTAAGGTTATACTTTGGCTTATATGTAAACTATAATGAAAATCATGAATGCTTTCAATATTTTTGGTAGATATATATATATATATATATATAGTGATTTTATTTTCATCTACATTGTTAATGTAGAAAAAATATGATGAACTTTTAATGAGCAGTGCTAGTGGTAGTGATGATTGTCCTGAGTCCCGGCCACCAGTTGATAATATGGCATTATGGATGGAGGCAACGGGTAGGGCGAAAAAAGGGAAAATATTTGGGATGGGATCATTATCAAGGATGTACATGCCGAATAGTCCCTGGAAGTTCATCATCCACTGGGACTGGTCGAAGGAGGTCACGAGGAGACGAGCAATTGACCCAAGAAGTGAATCGTCTGAATAATTTACTTGTTGAGAAGGATGAACGAATATATAACTTGGAAGAACAAATGAGAATCGTTATGCAACACCTTAACATTAATCGCAATGCCGATCCTGCTGTACCTCCAGCCAATCCAGTAGGTGATGGGTACAATGATGACCAACACATTGATGCCAAGAATGCTGCTGATGATAATGATGATGAAGATTTTCTCCGGTCTTTCTAGTTAAAATTCTCAAAATCGGGGGTAAGCTTGCTTCATAATCTTGGTTTTTCATAATTTCACTCATATTCATATGTAAGAACATTTATGTTTGTCCCAAAACGTATTTTTGTTAACCCTTTTGTTATTTTACACCTAGTTCCACATCCATGCATAAACGCTTTTTTTATATTCTGGACTGATTTATGTATCGACATTTCTTCAGGTCTCGACAAAAGTGACTACTTTTGGTGTCCTGCCATCATACCAAAGCCGCGTCTTCTTCTGTATGGTTTTTTTTGCGTCTTCTATGGTTGTCCCGTCTCTTAGTTCATGTTTTGACTGTATTGTAATATTGGATATCAAATAGTATCATGTCAGACTCAACAACTTTCCTTCTGTTATTTGTTTTAATTATATGTCATTGTGGCTGGTTTGTCAGAATTTATGGTTCGTTCGTTTTTCTGTTTCAATTATATATTATTGTCTCCTTTGATTGATATGGATAAGAATTTATGGCCGAAATGATATAAAAATAGCGACAAATATTTAAGCCGAATTTTGCTATTATTAAAGTTTGTCACTAATTTGCGACGAAATTCGCGACGAATTTTCTGACGAAATTCGCGACAAATTTTACGACAATTTTGCGACGAAATTGCGACGCATTTTTGCGACAAATTTTGCGACGAAATTGCGACGAATTTTGCGACGGACAAACGTTCGTGGCAAATTTGCGACGAAATTTGCGACGAATTTGTGACGGATTTTTGCGATGAATTTTGCGACGGACAAACGTTCGTGGCAAATTTGCGACGAAATTTGCGATGAAATTGCGACGGACTTTTGCGACGAATTTTGCGATGGACAAACGTGCGTCGCAAATTTGTGACGAAATTGCGACGGATTTTTGCGACGAATTTTGCGACGGACAAACGTCCGTCGCAAATTTGCGACGAAATTGCGACGGATTTTTGCGACGGATTGAGTTCGTCGCAAATTTGCGACGGATTTTTGCGACGAATTTTGCGACGGATCGAGTTCGTCGCAAATTTGCGACGAAATTTGCGACGAATTTTGCGACGGAATATTTGCGACGAATTTTGCGACGGACTATGTGCCGTCGCAAATTTGCGACGAATTTTTTTTCGTCGCAAATTTGCGACGAACTTGTGAATTTTCCGGCGCAAAATTTTGCGACGACCTAGTAGCGACGGAAAAATTCCGTCACAAATTCGATTTGCGACGGATTTTTCCACATTTTCCGTCGCAAATTTCGTCGCTAATCCGGTGTTTTTTTGTAGTGAGAGCTCATATAGCCTACATCACTTGTACTCCACCATTACTCCTCCAAGTTTCCAACTACATTTGTAATACCATTTTCCATAAACTAATGAAACTAGGAAAATTTGTCCAAAAAGTCTTAAACCTATTGCATTTTTGTCAATTCAGTCTTAAACCTTTAAAGTTTGCCAATTGAGTCCTAAACTTTTTCACTTCTTGTCAATTGAGTCCATTCGGCAAATTTTGGTCACTCGGAACTAATGTGGACGTCGGCCAGTGCAGGACATCCAGCTAACGCTGACGTTACAATTTTTTTAATATTTTAATATTTTTTTCGAATTTTTTTTTTATTTTTTTTCCTTTTTTTTTTCTGGTCTTCTTCCCTTTGGCTGGCGAGGTCGGCCTCGTTGTTGCTTGGGTCTCCCTCGCCAGCCCCTAGCCTTGCTCAGCGACGGCAAGGTCGGCCTTGCCTGGGCTAGGGGAGGCCAACCTCGCCGCCGCCTGGGTCTCCCTCGCCTATTGACGGCGAGGTTGAGCCAAGGCGAGGCCGACCTTGCCATCGCTGGGCAACGCCAGGGGCCGGCGAGGCTCGACCTCGCCCAAATCTGGCGAGGCCGACCTTGCCTAGTGACGGCGAGGTTGACCTCGCCCAACCAGGGGCCGGCGAGGCTCACCCTCACCAGTGGTCGGCAAGGGGCGAGCTTTGCCAGAGACTAGCAAGCCTCTGGCCGGTTCAGCAACCGGCCAGAGGGAAGAAGACCAGAAAAAAAAATTCGAAAAATATTAAAATATTAAAAAAATTGTCACGTCACCGTTTGCAGAACGGCCAGCGTCCACGTCAGCTCCGGGGGCCAAAATTGGCCGGATGGACTCAATTGGCAAGAAGAGAAAATGTTTATAACTCAATTGGCAAACTTAAAAGGTTTAAGATTGAATTGATAAAAGTACAATAGGTTTAGGACTTTTTGGACAATTTTCCCAATGAAACTATCTCCCATTGTCTACATCCCCTTGTCTCCTTGTCCATCATCTACCAAATGTGCTTGCACACATTCAAACTACAAACTATCATCGATACCAATATCATGTTTCCGCACAACCTAAATTTTTAACATGGTATCAAAACTCCAAATGCTACATTATGCCACTGTACATTGATTTACACTACAACATACTCATCTCCGTCACGGTCATGTTGTCGCCATTGGTTCCTTCTTCATGATCCTGACGATTCCTTCTCGTGCCGAGACATGCAAAGAGCAAACAACCAGTGGAAATGGCGATGGTGAAGCCGTAGAGCGCCCAGAAGCTGTCGAGGCCCAACTTCGGTCTCTCGCTGGTGATGTTCCTCATCGTGCACTCCGGAGAGAACCAATTTTCCTCTAATTTTTCCATCTCACCGCTCTGCGAAAGCTCCAAAATGGCTTCAGAGAAATTTGCAGCCAGTAGAGAGCCTTTTGGGAACACCTGCATATGGGCAGTGAAGAAGGAGAGAGATAAGTAACATGGACGAGGATTTGCATAGCCACTATTAGAAAATTAATGTTCGTACGATTCCTTTCTTGTTTCTCTATTTGGCTATAGTAACCCCAACTGTTTTTGCTGGTCGAATATCAAGCCTGGTGCTCTCACTTGGACGTAGCGACAAGTAATTTGGTGCCACTGTATCAATACCCGTTTCGAGAGCTAATTGAGTTAGTAAGTGTAATGTTGACAAATAGTCATCGAGTTTCAATTCTCTCTATATCATTTCTATGAACTCAACTTGAAGCTCATAGATCTAATCGTTTCCTAAAAGGAATATTCAAGTGCAAACTGTGTTTCAATTCATATATCAATCCACACCCTATGTCATACTCCGTTGGGACTTGGTGTGGTATTTTAGTACTCCAGCTCTTTTTTCTTTTTGACCGAGCCTAACGGGATGCAACACACAAACTCACGATGCTATTAACACTCCAAAAATCAAGTTTACGCAGAATAAGTAAATCATACTTACAAAGCCAAAACCGCCTACTCTGTGGCCATCACCAATGGTCAAATATCCATCGCAGTACTGAGCGAAGAAAGCTCTCATATATGGGTACTCCAGAAAAAGAGCGGAGATGTTGCCTCTTCTGAATTCATCTTCATAGTTCCAAGCGTCTCTTATGGGGACTATGACATCATTCGAGAACTTCAACGTGTTATTCAAATAGCCACAAACGAAACCATCGGCGTCACAACCCACTCTTGCTTTAGAAGTTCTCAGCCTTTCCATGGTGGTCACAGTTGGTTTGAGCTCCCGGATAGTGAGCATCGAGGTGAGGCCAGCCGTGTAACTCTGTGTCAAGTTCAACGCTACAAAGAACCAAATCACCAGCATGATTCGAGTGAATTTGCTATGGACACTCTCCCCTGCAAAACTCAGCAATACATGTGTTTTTTGTCAAATGTTTGGGCCGAAAAGAGTGTGCAAGGACTATAATCAACAGAGGAATGTTACTTGCTACGAGCAAAGAAGAGAGAGGAGAAAGTGAAATAAAAAGCAGTCGAGAGCTGATTTGTCCAAGGGCCTCCGAATTCCGGATTGATCCGATGCTCCAAGAACCAAGCTACCAACATTGTGTATATAAGGATGCCACCAGAGGCAACCCACATTGTTGGAGTGAAAGGCTCCATGAAGATCAGTGCCCTGTCTGTGTCTGGTTTTGCTGGGACTATCAATGAAAGGTATGATCCCATAAACGGTTGTGTGAACTCGACAAACTTTGAGCGATTGACCAGAATAGTTATGTCACCGACTGCAGCATCGTAGGTCTTCCATCAATGTCATACCATGGAACAACATCAAAGCGATCCACTTTAGAAATTGACGCCGAAATTTCACCGTCAAAGCGGAGCAGTAGTATCAACAAGATGTGAGACTTTGACGGTTTATTAATGCAAAGTGATACAATCTAGTGAGCGAAAATTGATGTGTGAAATGACCTTGTTGCTTGGTTTAATTTATCCAGGCTCTGATGGTTTATCTCTCAGAGAAAGTATTTGTTGATATTCTATAATGCAATGATGCAATAATGATGCAAGAACAGAGATGATGCGGTACCATACCTTATCACGAACTTTTTGAACCAAGTCTTCATATGTTCCGTTGTGACTATGAAAATCATACATCAAACCATCAGGAAAAAGAGAAACGGCCTTCTCGAAAACATCTATGCAAAAGCCAATGTGCTTTGGTTTCCCGGTTAAGCCGTCCACTTCCTCCTTCCCAAACTTATCAAAAGGAGTTCTACCGGGAACTCCGATCACCAATCGCTTATTCTCACTAGAAGTCTGTGCTTCTTGAGTCTTCAACATGTCTGAAATTGCGTATGGCTTTCTTCTTGAACTTTGTTTCGCCACAATGCTCCTCGAGATACCGAAATTGGGAGACCAAAGCTTAAGCTCTCTATATTCATTTCCATTAACACTTACAAGTTGGAATTTCGGTCGATGTGCCAACTGGCCTTTCTCAAATTGTATTTCCCCGCTCAAACCCATAAGTCTAGTGTGTGGTATTCTATCAAGCAAAAACTCAGGCATAATATCATGGCTCGGCACTGCATCAATGGCATTTTTAATGGTCTTGTTAGTATTTGCGGAAGCGTGATTTGTTTTGTAAGTGAGTGAGTGATTTAGTGAGTACAAGTGTTGGTACGTGGACTTGAAGCAACAGTAGAACAAAACTTTTGATAGTGGAAGACAAGTAGGAAACAAAGAAGACAAAAAGTATTGTATTATGAAGGCTTTGTACAAGGGACTTAGTTTTTTTTTTTCTTCTGATAGGTCTCTACTTCAAGTGGAGAGGGGTTGGCTATTTATAGCCCTCGTCCACCGCCACTAAGGAAAAATCTATAGCATGTTACGTAGATATTTTTCTAGAATTTTCTACACATGTCTCATTAACCTTCTAGAAATATCAAAGATTTTTCTAGAAACTTTTCTAGAAATATCTTAGATATTTCTCACAACTTTCTAGATTATTCATTTAAATATCTATTCTCCAAAAATCTTGAGCATACTAGAAACTTCTAGAAATTGGATCACTATTTCAACACTCCTCCTTGATCCAATTTCGAGAAACTCCAAGCATGCTTCTTAACATCTCGAACTTGACCAGCGGTAGTGCTTTAGTGAATATGTCCGCGACTTGATCTTCGGTCTTGCAATATTTGAGCTCGATCTCTCCATTATATTGCACTTCACGGATGAAGTGATATTTGATGTCTATGTGTTTGGTTCTTCCATGGAAGACAGGATTTTTTGATATGGCGATTGCAGACTTGTTGTCGCAAAATATTGAGTTGATTCCGTTTGTGCTTCTCCAATGTCTTCTAGAATTCTTCGAAGCCATATTGCTTGACTAGTAGTCGTAGTACCATGCGATATATTCAGCTTAGATTGTGCCACCGAGTCTTGTTTTTAGATGCCTAAGAGAATATTCCGGAGCCCGGTGTGAATGCATAGCCGGTGGTGCTCCTCCTATCGTCGATTGATCCGCCGATCACTATCTGTAGCCAACGAGCTTAGCGGTTGAACTTGGCCGATACCAAATGCCATAACGTCGTTCCTCGTATGTATCTTCAAATTCTCTTGGCAGCTCCAAAGTGAATTTGACTTGGACTCTGCATGAATCGTGATAGTAGACTTGTTGCGTATATGATGTCCGGTCGTGTAGCGGTGAGATATAATAGACTACCAATCGACTTCGTAGAGGGTGGCTTCGGCTTTTTCTCGCTCCATCTTCCTTTAATAGTTTCTCGTTTGTCACGAGCGGTGTTGCAAGCTGTTTTGCAATTATTCATCTTGAATTTCTTAAGGAGGTTCTCGGCATATTTCTTCCGTGAGATAAAAACTCCTTCATTTTGGTTGATCTCGATACCGAGGAAGTAGCGCATCAAGCCCAAGTCCGTCATCTCGAATGTCTTCATCATTTCTTCTTTGAATTCTTGAATCATCTTTTCATTGTTCCCTGTATATATAAGATCATCCACATACAAAGAGACAATGAGAGTGTCGGACTTACCTTGGGTCTTGATGTAGAGCGTTGGCTCACTCATGCTCCTCCCGAATCCTTGCTTGGTAAAGTATTCATCTATTCTGCTATACCATGCTCGTGGTGCTTGTTTTAACCCATAGAGGGCCTTCTTGAGCTTGAGGACTTTTTCTTCTTGGCCTTTGATGGTAAAGCCTTGTGGTTGTTCCACATATATTTCTTCTTGAAGATATCCATTAAGGAATGCAGACTTTACATCTAGTTGATAGATCTTCCATTCCTTTTGTGCTGCTAAGGCTATGAGTGCCCGAATAGTATCAAAGCGTGCAACAGGAGCGAAAGTTTCAAGTATAGTCAATACCTGGTTGTTGCAAGTATCCTTTCGCCACGAGCCTTGCCTTATGCTTTTGAATTGATCCATCTACATTGAGCTTTGTCTTGTAAACCCACTTGACACCAATGATTTCTTTGTCGTCGGGCGATCGACGAGCTCCCACGTTTCATTCTTCTCTATCATCTTGATTTCTTCCTCCATGGCCTTAATCCAAACTTCTTCTTTGGTAGCCTCTTCATAGTTCTCTCGGTTCTAAAGCGCAAAGTTGCATGTTTCATAAACTTTTCTAAGAGATTTTACCCTTAAAATAGGAGATTCAAGTAGATTCTTCTTGTGTTGCGCCGGGAGAGGATGGTGGTGTTACGTCTTGAGTGGTTGAATCGGCACTTCACCTTCATCTTGTGATGTTGAATCCTCTCGAAGCGGGTTGTTTATCCGGCAAGTTGACATACTTCTTCTCAATCTTTTCGTCCTCCCAATTCCAGCGTCATTCTCGCCAAATTCGATGTCTCGACCGATCATGAGCTTCTTAGTTCTTAGGTTGTAGACCCGATAGCCTTTTGATTGGTCGCCGTAGCCAGGAAGATTCCTTTTCTGTCTTCTCATCTAGCTTGCTCCTCTTTTTGAGCAGGAATGTGGACGTAACATATGCAGCCAAACACCTTGAGATGCTTCTTTGAAGGCTTCCGTCCACTCCATGCTTCAACCGGAGTTTTATTTTGGACTGCTTTAGTTGGACATCGTTTAAGATGTATACCGCCGTATAGACCGCTTACGCCCAAAACGTGTTGGGAAGGCCTTTCTCCTTTAGCATAGACCTTGCCATCTCCATGACGGTTCTATTCTTCCTTTTCGCTACTCCATTTTGCTCCGGGCGTAGCCAACAGTTAGTTGATGATGAACTCCTTCATCTTCACAAATTTATTGAACTCCCTTGAGTTGTATTCCGTGCCTCGTCGCTCCTTAGAACTTTGATTCTGCGGCCACTTTGATTTTCGACGTGGTTCTTGAATTTTCTGAAAATAGAGAAGACCTCCGATCTTTCTCGAAGAAAGTAGACCCACGTCATTCTTGTGTAGTCATCGATGAATAGGATGAAATATTTATTTTGACTGGGTGTGAGGGTCCTCATTGGACCACACACATCCGTATGCACTAGCTCCAATGGCTTCTTAGCTCTCCACGCACCTCCAGATGGGAAGGATTGTCTTTGTTGTTTTCCAAGCGCAGACAACCTTCACAAACATCTGAAATTTCTGAAATAGCTGGAAAATCTCTCATCATTTTTTTTTGATGGAGAACTTTTAGCCCAGCAAAGTTGAAGTGGCCAAATCTTCGATGCCAAAGCCATGAATCATCAAGTTGAGCTTTCATGGCTACATCTCTCGATATATTTCCATTGAATAGGAAAATTCCTATTCTCCATCTTAACAGAGGCAATGATATTTTTATATTTATCATAGATAATGCAGCATCTTCTCTAAAGTATAGAGAATACCCACTTTGAATCATTTGGCCCACGCTCAATAAATTTTGAGCAAGACTAGGGACAAGATATACATTGTGAATATATTTTGGGCCTTTATTTGTTTCAATGGCTATAGTGCCTTTTCCTTTTACTTCGACCAATGTGCCATTGCCCAATTTCACTTGGGATTTCACCGACGTATCAATATCGGTAAATATATATTCATCCCCGTCATATGATTGCTACACCCACTATCAATGTACCACGTATCATTTTTCTTATCATTTGCCGCTTGGCCTGCGTAGAATGTGTTGTCTTCAGTTTCTTTTTCTTCAACATAGTTGGCTCGATTATTTGTTTTCGAGCGACAATTCTTTCTACGTGGCCATATCTTTTACAAAGCGGCATTGTGGTTTATTTTTAAACCAGCAATCTTTCTCTAGATGATTAGTGTTCTTGCAAATTCCACAATGTGGGTATTTTTCCTTTTGGATAGTTTCTCCTCCTTTTTTACTTTTCCATAAGCTCCTTCCACCATTTTTAGATTGATGAGACCGTATGTTTATTTTGACTGAAAGGCACTTTCAACTGAATCTTCATCTTGTGCCATCAATCTTTTCTCATGTGCTTCTAGAGAGCCAATTAATTCACTTATCGACAGGGTCGTTAAATCTTTAGTTGCTTCTATAGTTGTCACAATAGGATTATACTTTCTAGTAAGTGACACTAGTATTTTTCTACGACCCTTTGATCGGTGATTTCATCTCCATAGGCTCTCATTTGATTAACTAGTTCTTTTAATTTCCCACAGTATTCTTGAACGGTCTCATTTACTTTCATTTTAGAATTCTCAAATTCTCTTCTTAGAGTTTGAAGCCGAATAGTGCGTACCTTTTCGATCCTTGGAATTCATCTCGTAGTGTTTCCCATGCCTTCTTTGTTGTCTTCGCTCCAATTATCCTCGGAAATACTGTTTCCGAGAGTGCTTATTGAATAACACATAGTGCCCTTGCATCCTTTTGTAGTTGATCTTTTGGAACACTTGCACCTTCTTGTGGAGCCTCATAACCCTTTTCTATGATGTCCATAAATCTTGGGCCATCAAGAAAGTAGTCATTTTAATGCTCCAATAGTCGTAATTATTCCCATCGAAAATAGGAATGGGAAATGAGGATGATGTAGAGTTGGCCATAGTTTAGTTGTTGGATAGTTGAATGGGTAGTTTTAGGAACGGGTGGTTCGGACAAACGCCCAATACCAACCAAAAACGTGGCTCACGATACGACTGTTAGTATTTGCGGAAGCGTGATTTGTTTTGTAAGTGAGTGAGTGATTTAGTGAGTACAAGTGTTGGTACGTGGACTTGAAGCAACAGTAGAACAAAACTTTTGATAGTGGAAGACAAGTAGGAAACAAAGAAGACAAAAAGTATTGTATTATGAAGGCTTTGTACAAGGGACTTAGTTTTTTTTTCTTCTGATAGGTCTCTACTTCAAGTGGAGAGGGGTTGGCTATTTATAGCCCTATCCACCGCCACTAAGGAAAAATCTATAGCATGTTACGTAGATATTTTTCAGAATTTTCTACATATGTCTCATTAACCTTCTAGAAATATCAAAGATTTTTCTAGAAACTTTTCTAGAAATATCTTAGATATTTCTCACAACTTTCTAGATTATTCATTTAAATATCTATTCTCCAAAATCTTGAAGCATACTAGAAACTTCTAGAAATTGGATCACTATTTCAACAGGTCTTAATGCAATCGTATGCTCGAACAACATTGATTCCTGGCTCGAAATTGAAGTTCTCTCCATACTTGTGATGGAACATATTCAAGAATTTGGATCTGAATTCTCTATATGCCTGGTTTTTGGGACGGTAGGTGATTACGCCTATTGCGCCTTCAAGAGTCGAGGAGATTCCTGGATGTTCTACTGAAGTTAAGAGATTGGCAAATGGTTCTTCAGCGAATATCCAAGTAGAATCTCCATAGAAGAGTCCCATCGTCTTTGCTTCTTTGAGAAAATGAGCGCTTCCCTGCGACGACAATCCTAGAACAATAAAGATTGGAGATGCCTTTCCCTTCAGCTTCATTAATTTCTCTTCCAAAGACACTTCTGCTCCGGTTGGAGATGAGAATGCTTGAAGAATCAGCTGGTCTTCTATTGTTGAGCCGATTTTTCCAAGCTCCTCCAACAAAGAATTTAACAGCTTGGAGTACGTAGTATCGTATGCCTCCGCCTCACATATTATTGATACTCTTTGCCTGTTATAAGAACTAACTATATCTACAATGCATTTAATTTGGTCGGATTCATCGGTACTCATTCGAAACAGTGAAGGCCATAGAGTTTCTGCCATCAATGACGGTGTTATGTGGTCTCTCACAAAGGATATGACTGGTACCTGAGATTGATTAGCAATTTCGGCCACTAAAGTTGCTCTCTCCCATGTCTCCAAGCCGATAATAACTTTCACATTCTTCCTTTTGATCAGCATTTCAGCTGTTGAAAGAGAAAAAAAAGGAAAATGAATATACTGTAACTTCAGGATTCAAAGCAATCTTCTTTACCAATTTCTTCTATTAATAGCGCTTATTTACCCCTATCATTAGGTTCATGGAAGAGACTATCGCAGCTATTCATTCGTTATGGGAGATACATGTTTACAAGGAAGAACATCAATTTGCTGGTGTTATCGCAATCGTTCGTGCAAAAGCTTAAGCTCTCGGCTATGGATCCACAATGCATATCGACTACTATTTAGTATGTATGGAATATTAGCGAAAACCCATTTTCTGTGTGGAATAATGAATGAGATGATCATTTAATTCCAATTTAACGAGATAGTTACGAGTTTTTTGGGAAGAAATTGTAATTGAATCTAGCAGTTCATTAATAACTTTTAGAATGAATGATTTGACATAATCATTGGGTGTCTTAAATGCACAACGGCATTCTATGGGGTTATCATTGCGAAGCAATATTGCTAATCGTAGAAGTTTTAGTAAACATTCAGCACATGCAGAAAAATTGAGAAAATAAATAACAACAGGTACTTGATCTCATAGCAGACTTGGGGTGGTTTTTTATTACCGTACGCGGCAACTAAAATGTTTCTAACAAACAAAGCAGAAATTATTGCAGGCTGCAGCTACCAAATTGAGGAAGGGCAGCGAATGACTAACCGGCCGAAATTGCTTGAAGGGCCTTCGCGTGGGAGTTTATGTAATATGGCTTTATGTAATGACTTCCTGATGATGAGATGCTGTTCACATCTTGGAATGCTATTTCGATTGCCATACGCATTTGGTCGCCGAGACGTGAGTCCAAATCGAGAATCACGCCCACTTTGAACGCGCTCCTCTCATCTATGACTTTGGTGGCTGCACTGGAGTAGCTCGGGACGAGGAGCGGCGAGAGCAGGAGAAACAGCTTCGAAATGGACAAAATGTGTCTCGTACTTCTGTTCAATGAGGTTTGATGAAAACCCATCTCGAAAACCTGAATAACTCCTCAGAAGCTAAAACAAGAGTTTCATATTGCTTTGCAAATAATTGGTTCGTGTTTGTCATAAAACCCATTTCACATTTCTTACCTATTTATAGTGGAGAGAGAGAGAGAGAGAGAGAGAGAGAGAGAGAGAGAGAGAGACAGAGACAGAGAAAGAGAGAGGTATACGTAAGTGCAGAGGAAGTAATTTTCCAAGAAAATAGGGACAGGAAGACGGTTGCATGCAAATTTACGTCGGGGTATATGTGGTGCGCTTACCAAAAAGTTACTGTTGATTTGGTCTTTCCAGCAGTAGATTTTTTTTTTTTTGAAAAGTCTTTCTTGGACCGAAGCGAATAATCAATGGCGAGTATTCTTGTGAGGAACATACTCTGATTCATGTAAGACTTGTATTTTCGGGAACTTTGACAATAGACCAAGTCAAGTCACTGCTTTGTTGGGATGGCATTAGGATTACATTGGACCCAAATTTTCGAAGGACAGACTCTTCTCATTCCCTAGAATGCTGTGAATGGTTCCAACTTCTGAGCGATATGGTAATATTCCTACTATACTAGGAGATTACGGCTCTTGTTGCTGTATTCTAGATTCATCAGTCCTGTCTATTCAAATTAGTAGGATTTTGAAGCGGACTTGCAGGGTTGTGGGGTACTGTTCTCACGCCCTGTAACCCCGTATTGTTCTCAGCTGATGGACCACTGGACATGCGCCAGGTATCCATCAAACTCCCAACCCAAAGAGACCTCTCGCTCTCCTCCCCTCTATCCTCTCTCCTCTAGCCAACCAGACGGTCCAAACCTGACCCTAAAATGCAGAGGGAGCTCCGGCCGCCATTCTTGCGTTCATGCCGCCACCTCCGATCCTCGCACCACCGCTCCTCCGTCCACCAGGGCAGGGCACGGTATATCAGCCAAAGGGAGAGAGAGGAGAGAGAAGACGAAAGTAGGAGATGGAATGCATGGGTGGGATTTCTCTGTGCTCACCAGCACTTCTTCCGGTAGTGTAGACATGGACTACTACGTGCAGGGGAGAGTGGCAAGGTGAAAAAGAATTTGTAGCTGTTCTAACAATTTTACAAAAGTAAATATGAAAATAAAGAATTTGAACTAGAACTGTTTGTCATATCAGTCTCAAAATGACAATTATGAAATGTTATCCGGTAAGGATTGGTAATAATCTATTGAATTCGAGCTATTTCAAATTAGGGATAAGTATATTAGGAGTCTTAAAACTTGTCATGAAAGTACTATTGAGTCCTAAAACATTCAAAAATCGCAATCAAATCCTAAAAATTGTCAAATTAGTCCAATCAAGTCATTCTATTAATTGCATTTTTTGAAAGTTTTAGGACTCGAATGCACTTTCGTGACAAGTTTTAGGATTTGATTATATTTTTTGAAAGTTAAGAAACTCGAATTCACTTTTGTGACAAGCTTTAAGACTTGATTGCACTTTTTGAAAACTTTAGGACTCCATTGCACTTTTGTGACAAATTTTAAGATTTCCGGTGCACTTATCCCTTCAAATTGTTAGCTAAAATCATGCGTCATATATGTTATTAAAAAATACTTTAAGGTCCCGGGCAACAAAACAAAGCAGCGAATTAAGAGGTTGAATGCTTATCTTTCATCCATAATACTAGATAAAATACAAAATACTAATAACCGATTTGTAGTACTTTTATTAAAAAAAAATTGCGACTTGAAGGCGTTGCGCTTTAATCATGTTCATAGGCGACCACCTCACATTTACACATTACACAACTACCTAGAGCGTAGGCGGGCGACGACGATCATCCAATGGTCGATGATGAGAGAGAGAAAGAGATTAGGAAGATTGCTGTCGAATTGGCGGCCACCACCATCATAGTAACTCATCTATGATATAAATAACTCCGTTTATAAGATAAATAAGTTAATTACAGAGTAAGAATTACCAACTTCAAGTGGAATGTAATTTAGTTACTTAATTATAAATTCATACTTAAAATAAAAATGTTACAGTGAAATTAATAACTCACCAACATAATTCTGCTTGTAAGTTAGTTAGTTACCAATAAAGTAAGAAACTTGCTATTGGAAGTAAAGTAGAAGTTAGTAATTTATGTCGTTGGGTAAGTTACTGATAGTTGACCGGACAAAAAAGTTACCAATCAATTTTACTTACTAATGATATTGGAGATTTACTAGCACTTTTTTAATTTCGCCAGAACTATTGAACTGGCCTTGCCTAGGAGCCATACGTGTTCATCATACCAATAGTTGCTGCAATCAATTCTACAGTTTACACAAAATTGGAGAACGGTTCAAAGTCAAACCAATGAAGGGATTTCAAACCTTGAATAATCCTAACCAATAATCTTGCTCATTACACCGTTGGTATGAAAACTGAATATAGTTACTTCATTGTCCGTAATAGTAATAAATGATATCAGGGTATGAATAAATTAGGGCAATGTGGCAAAAAAGGGCACGTATATGCAGAGGTACCGTGTCCTCATAATTTTTCACCGTTTGATTGAAAATTTAACAGATCTTAGCCGTTCGACAGATCTTAACTTGGACGGTCGTGGTTTTTAGCTTTTCGATTCAACAGTGAAAAGCTCACGCGGCAAGGTGCTTCCTAAGGACCATATCTGTATGTATATTGTAGCTGGCAAATTCCCTTTATTTGCCCACATCATGTGTGCTACTTTTGTGGTGCAGCCGGGAGAGAAGATTTAGTTTTCGAACCGAAGAATATACACTCCTTCATCATCGTGCCCCAAACTATGTTACAGCACTCTAAGTTTTCGTCATGAAATGCTCAAATCCTGACTCATGCCGTCACCATTGGTAACTTCTTCATGAACCTGACGGCTCCTCCGCGTGCAGAGACAAGCCACTAGCAAACAAGCTGTGGAAGTGGCGATGGTGAAAGCGTAGAGTGCCCAGAAGCTGTCGAGGCCCAGCCTTGGTGTCTTGCCGGTGTTGTTCCTCATCGTACACTCCCGAGGAAACCACTTGTCCTCTAACCTTTTAATCTCGCCGCTCTCCGAAAGCTTCAAGATGGCCTCGGAGAAGTTCGCTGCCAGCGGAGAGCCTTTCGGGAACACCTGCATGCACAGAGAACAAGGCCATTTGTAACTATATATCGGCACAGATTCTTTCCTTTTCGCAAACAATAACCCAAAATGGACTATATCATCTGAACCTGTATTCATTTTTTGGGTTCCTCCCTGGTTTACATCGGCCATGGACCATGTAATATTTAGTCGTGAGCTTTAGAGGTCAAATGCATCGCACTTGCTGCTAACCGGTGATTTGGACAGGTACTATGCTTCTGCGACTTGGTGGGTTTGATGATATTGCACTAAGTCCCACTAGTAAGCTCGTTCCTATTCTTTCGTACCATTTTAATGGGTCCAAACTCGAAACACATGGATCAAGTCAAGTCCCTAAGAAGACACCCAAGTTCTGGCACCCCAATCTATATCTTACTCTACTGGGAGTTGGTTGGATACTCATGCCCCTTATTCTTTGTGGGCTAGCTTAAGGAGATGATTTGCACAAACATAGGATGCTATAAAATACTCTGAAAATTGGAGTTTATGTAGAATAACGGCAGATACTTACAAAGCCAAGACCGCCAAATCTGTAGTTCTCATGAGTGACAGCATATCCATAGCAATACTTGGCGAGGAAGGCTCTCTCATACGGGTATTCGAGAAAAAGAGCAGCAATGTTACCGCTTGTGAGTTGATCTCCGTAGCTTGAGCTGTTCCTTAGACCGATGATAATGTCCTTTGAGAAATTAAGTTTTTTGTTCAGATAGTCACAGACGAAAGATACAGCGTCACAACCCACTCTTGCTTTGGAAATTCTAAGCCTTTCCATGGTGGTCACAGTCGGTTTAAGTTCTTGAAGAGTGAGCATTGAAGTGAGGCTAGCTGTGTAACTCTGTATTGAGATCAACGCGACGAAGAACCAAATCACCAATACAATCCGCGTGAAGTTGTGGTTGATTCTCTCCCCTGCAAAGGTAATAACTTACTTGCTTCCTTTTTTCTTTTCGTTTGAAAGTTCGGGCTTAAAAGAGTGTACATGGACTATAATCAACAGTGGGAAGTTACTTACTGTGAGCAAAGAAGAGAGATGAGCAAGTGAACCAAAGAGCGGTCGAGAGCTGATTAGTCCGAGAGCCTCTGAACGCTGGATTGGTCGGATGTTCCAGGAACCAAACTACTAACATTGTGTATATAAGGATGCTTCCAGAAGCAACCCACATGGTTGGAGTGAAAGGCTTCATGAATATTAATGCCCTGTCTGAGTCTGGTTTTGCTGGAACTATCATTGAAAGCTCTGACTCTATAAATGGTTGTGTGAACTCGACATACTGCGAGCGATTAGCTAGAATAGTTATATCACCAACTGCAGCGTCGTAGGTCTTCCATCAATGTCACACCATGAGCAACATTAAAATGATGCATTTTAGTAATTAACACCAAAATTACATCATCATCCAAGCAAAACATTACTACTAAAATGTTGAGACCTTGACGGTCTATGGATGCAAAGTGATACAATCTTGTGAGTTGTGAGTCCCCTAGTGATCAATGTAGCGAACAAGGATCTGCGTGAAATAAACCTGTTGGTTGTTGTAATGTGCACATGCTTTGCTGGTATGTGTATCGGAGAAAGTACTAGTGGATATTCTAAAATGCAGTGAATAATCATTGAGGAACAGAGATGATGATGTGGTACCTTGTCATAAACTTTGTTAACCAAGTCCTCGTATGTTCCTTCATGAGGTAGAAACGTATAATTCAAACCCCGAGGACGCGCCCTCTCGAAAATATCTATGCAAAACCCAGAGTACGTTGCGTTCCCAGTTATGCCGTCTATTTCCTCCTTCATAAATTTACCAAAGGGAGTTGGACGAGGAATTCCAATCACCATTTGCGGGATATATCTTCTATGGGTGTTCGATGTGTCTGAATTTGC